GAATTGCTCGCTCGGCTGTGTTAAATCATCCAAATGATGGTTATCGATGGATTGTTGACCAAATTCAAGTTTGCCAATTTGTTGCGCGAGTTTGTCAGATCCTTGTATCTGTTGTGTAAACTGTTCACTCTGCTCTGTCAAATCTTCCGGCTGTTGTATCTCTTGACCGAGTTCCTGATCTTGCTGTGTAAAATCCTCATCGGTCACTTGATGTTGCTGCACGTGACGATCATCTCGTTTGTATTTTCTGTGGTATCTGGTTTCGTGTTGATATTGCTGATGAGTCTCCTCGGTGCAATCGGCGCCATGCGCTGCGTGGCCTGAGTCCAGCGATCCGGTCACGAGTTGTCCCGTTTTGTACGCAGAATCATAACTGCTGCCGCCAGTACGTGCATGAGACTCGTATCCCTGGGCGGTATGGGAACGTCCGTGGTGCTCGTTATACGCGTCCCGATCGTAATGCGCTCTTTCCGTGTGACCAACACCGTGTCCAGAATAGCCCGTAATGGTTCGTTCGGGAGCTACGCTCTCCCCGGTGTGACTGGAGGATCTCCACTGCTCCTCGTAGTGCCTAGTTTCGCCATGTCTGCTGGGATACGTGACGTGACTCAAATGTGGGTTGTACACGCGCTGGGAGTCAGTCAGCAGCTGATTCTGAAGCACGTTGGACCGATGCGTGCCCAGGGCCTCTGTACGATGAGTTTCGTCCAGGTGATGCCCACTCGATTGCGCATTGTGGTAGCCGCTGGTTTGGTATCCGCTAGTTTGGTAACCGCTTCCGGGAACCTGTACGTAACCGGGAGATAAGTGACTCGAATGAGGCACAGGATGCACTCGAGATGAGTGGGTCTCATGGCTCTGATAACTTCGGTGGCTTTCCGTGCCATACGTATCTGCGGTCGCGGTAGGGTACGTATACGGCAACTGTCTCGTATCGGTGTGTATTTCTCTCTGCTGCTCGGTATGATGCACACTTCCGGTGGACGGACCGCCCTGGTAGCCCAAATGTCTGTAACCGCTCTCGGCTGTTTGCAGATCGTGGAGACCGACTGTTTCCTGAGTCAAGTCCATCTGAGTCGAACCTACGTGCGTGGTCGCGGCAGTGTGTCCGGTGCTAGAGATTTGATGTAAATTCCTTCTAACGCTCTCGAGGTCTTGCTGCAGGTTCCTTTGCAATTCACCGTGTAATTCGTCCAATGTCGCCGAGCCAATGACGCTTTGAGGAGCGCCGGAGCTGTAGTTGGAGGTGTAGTTTTTCTTGTAATAACGAACTTTCTTAGGCCCAGTTACGTATTGACCTTCCTCCTCGAAGACTTGTCCATGACCTCCATCGGTCCTGTAAGAGTCTGATCTGCTCCAATTATTGGGAGCTGTTTCGACATGATGCTGCGTGTCGATCGTTTGTGTGTTAATGCCGGGAATGTGTTGATTCACTTGCGAATATCCGCCGTATTCCCCAAAATCTTCCAGTCTCTCGTTCTTGCTTTCGATTCGCGTTGATGATGATTGTGTCTGTTGGCTGTGCACTCTATTGTATCCGGTCTCGCTCGCGCCTGTCTCTCCTAGGCCGTATGCGCTTTGAAAATGCCGGCTAATTGGCACTTGTGTTGGATTATACCTGTGTTGACTGCTTGATTCACCTAAGTCCGCTGCGTCCACTCCGTTTACGTTTCCGTAGGACGTGGTAAAATTCTTCTTGTAATATCTCACCTTTTTCGACGTGTCGACATATTGTCCCCGTTCTTCGTGAACCTTGCCGTGCCCACCGTCCGTCCTATACTGATTATGTTCAGTCCAGTTTCCTGGTCTAGCGTAATCGTAATCATTTAAGTTCGTTCTTGCTTGAACTAAATTCGCATGATCTTGATAACCGCTCGATGTTTGATGAATGCTTGTTTGGAGGAAGTTGCAAGACTCTATGCAGCCACTCGGCGCTGATAATGCTTGGACAAATAACGCGGATAAAACGATCATCCATCCAATCGCCATTGTTCCCATCCGATCTCTATGAAATAAAAATATAATTCAGTACTTAAACATCTGGTTTTGGTACCTTCTCTCTTAAATTTAAAACACAATGCGCGCTCTTAGATATTTAAACAAAACGAGAACTGCCTTTTGACAATTTTTTCTAATAAAAGTATCTTCTCTAATTCGATGTTTTTTATATGTTACATAAATCATGTTCTTTCTAAATAAATTTTTAGAAGTACAAATGAGTAATATTAAACATTATTTATCTTTCAATATTGCGTATCGATATAATTAAGCTTTTACAAAATTAAATAAAATATCGAAAAAATAATGTAACCGATGACAAAAATGCTACTTTACACAAGTAAAAGTTTTAAAATAACATATTTTTACGTTTTAACGATCTTTACAGAAAACATTATATTCTCTATATTTTTGCTTTAATGCAAGTTTATTTTTTGTTTTAATATTAACTCAGATTTGCTGTTCCGCGATAGTTACGTGTGACGTAACTTATATAAACAGGTTCATCAAAGTCAACCTTCACGATAAACGATAAATAATAGATAACACATGAAATGTACAAATCACGTTGTAAGCATCGGATATTTCTCTTGACCACAACTCCTATTTTAATATTGTAAAGATGAAGTAATGTAACTTTTTGTCTATATCGGATTAAAGTTTTGATCCACTTATTGTTAGTTTGGTTCTCTGATGAATGTGTGAAAAATTTTGGGACGAATTTTGTTAAATAAATTAAGATATTTCAAGTGATGTATTGTCCGTGTGTGTTAAATTAAAAGACACTCTCGTCATAGCACAAGTAACAGCGGGAAGACAGATCTGTTTTGTTTATTGATCGATTGTCTTCTACTTTGTTGAATTTGATGCCTACGGCATATTCAAGATCTCACTGACAAGACACGACGTTTATTTGTACACTTAATCCACACCCGCTGCTAGAAAAATGCTATATTTTGTTACCTTATAAGGGAAGATCGAGAAACACTTGTAATTCAGTTGTTAATGCCGAGATGCTCTCACTAACACTGTAGGCTCACATATAGCAGAAGAAGATTACTGCAAATCCATTTATGTTCTCTCCCCCTTCTTCTTACCGAGGATTCTCGGAGCATTCCTTTTCGCTCTTACACATATTAGCGATCTTTCCTTCTTATCCATCACAGTCCAGACTCAGTCTTATCGCACACAATTCTCAGCAATATACATATATATAATAAGATTGGGTTCTACCGTTGACGTAAGTGTCAAACATATATTTTTATAATTTATTTCTGATGTAGTCTTGTTACAAATCTTCATTCTAGAACCGAAATTATCACATTAGCTTTCTGGGGCTCTTTCAAACTAAACAGTTTTCTTTTACAATATTTTCTTATGTAGAAAACATTTTTTGTGTAAGAATAAGCATAACTAAATTATACAAAGTTTGTTTACAGTAACGTATTAAAATTGATCGTACAGGAAGATCCTGTATCCTGCAGGAAGTGTATCTTCGTAAAAAGAACAAATCCGTTAAAAAAAAATTACATCTTATTTCAGAATAGGAAATAATGGATGAATTATCACGTTATTTATAATTGCAAATTGATGGTTGAATATAACACTTAAAAAATAGATTATTACCTCTCCCATAAATTTCCCATTATCTCCCATTGATCTCATATCCTGTTCGATTAAAGTAAAGTTGCACCGCAACATCTTGTAGATACATAAATGCATGATGCATTGTCGGCTCACATATGTATGTACATACATATATGTGTGGCAACAGACATAATTCAACGACTTCCAGGTAGTCGCGATAAGTGGTTTTCCATATTTGATTCGATGTGTCATTGGTTAAGTCATTCTGAATTTGTAACGACGATCAAACTCGCTTTCATTCAGTGATGCTAGGAGCCACTTCAAGGTCGCCGTTACATAAAGGCCGTGGGCTCACCCAATGGCAGTTGTATTTTTGTGCTTGCACTCCACCGGTGGTGGACTCTTTATAAATAAAGAAATCCAGAAAATAGATTACAAGGAACAGACGAACGGTGGCCCACTTTCTTACAGAAATTACTGACCTTCCTAGAAGATGAACTCTGACCTTTTATCATGCTAAGAATGAGTGATGTTTCCACGATGTGGACCACTTCGTGACCTCGATATGGGTGTCATTGAAGCTGTTGGAATTCCCCATGAACAAGTTAATATGTACCAATATGGAAGAGGAGGAAATATTTAAATATATTCATATACATATACATACTCTCGTTATTTATGATTTGAAAGCTAGTTTATTTCTATGAAATATCTGCATTCAATGCATACTATTGTCATCTCTCTTTTTTCTTTGTTTCTTTCACTTGAGAATCATATAACGATCTATTATATTCAGAACTCGTTCAAAAGAAAATAGTGAGAATAGAGGAATTATATTGAAATTTGTATATAAGAGTGTAAATTATTTGAAATTAATCTACTCTATCTTTATAATTTATGCAATTTTTATATACTAAAAGCTTTCAATTCGGAACGGTTTTGGTATCATTGTCAGAACATGTTTTTGAGCAAAGATGAAAGGACATTTATTTACCTCGTTCGTATGTAAGGTGGAAAGAATTTGTGCGAGCAGGAGGCGCTTATCTGCAAAATTTTGCGGCGCCAGTAAAACGTTTCTTTAAATCCCAAACTTGTGTAAAACCGCATGCCAGAGCCGTGACGACCTGTGATACTCTGACCCCTCGATAGGCATTGACCTACAGATACGTTGGCAAGATTTTTAATTTCTCTGAAATATGATATGTGTGATATTCGTACCTCACAAACAATGTATAATCCCGAATAATTGTAAAAAGAAAATACTTGAGTTCTAGTATACCCGCGTGTGACATGATTAATTACAGAATTATGTAGCAGAATAAAAAGTCAAGCAAAAGCATCGCCTTAAATATTATCAGATAATTATAAAATTTCTTTCAAAAAATCTTTTTGATGAAAGTATATTATATTTCATTGTATTTTACCTTGAGTGTCTTTGAATTCATGATATAACACGGTACATTTTTTAACAACCAATGTGATAAAACTGACGAATTGTCATATATTCAGAAAATATAAATGTGTAACTTCAAGTTATAAATGAGTAATATTATTTTAAACATTATATGCTTAACTGTAGAAGCTTGCAACGTTACGCAAAGAAGTCAAGGCTAAATTTAAATGACGTACAGTTTATACGTCGTCAGATTCAATGTATAACCCAATGACATATTATGTGCTCTCAATTCGCATCATTTAAAGCATTTCTTCCAATGTCGGAGATAATTTAATGAAAGCATAGTGTTTCACCAATCGCGCTTCGTAAAATAATTCTGCGTTTCGCAATAGAGATTACACGTCGCGCAGAAGAAATTCACGGAAACTACTGGCTTGATAATCAACAAGTAATAATTTGTATTTCAGAAACTTGATACCACGATCCGGTTTTTCAATAGATCAGACTATTATACGGTACATGGAAGTGACGCTCTCTTTGCCGCACAACAAGTGTTTAAAACAACATCCGTATGTAAAATGATTGGAGCTGGTAAACATCATTTATTAAATAATTTTTCTATGCTTATATAATAGGACTGTATCTTTGGTTTTTTTTTGAAAAGAACAAATTCTAGCAAATAGATGCAATTATTCAATGAGACAAAAACCCTCGTCTCTGACTTGAAGTATTCTGCTTTCGATGTACTCAAATCTCTCTTCATATTTTCTACGTGTATTCGTGCATGTTTTAATTATGTACATTCAAAAAGAATCGTTATCTTTTATTACGTATATTAACGATAGGTGTATTGTATGTATTTGCTGTTTTATAATATATTTTTTATCTAAATTGAAAAAGTATTATCTGCGTTTAGGCATAGCGTAAAACGTTAATAATAAAATCAAATATTTTTGCAGAGCCACACAAAACGGAAGGAGTTATTCTCAATAAAAGCCATTTCGAGACGTTTGTGCGCGATTTGTTGCTGGTGAAGCAATATAGAGTTGAAGTTTATGTCAATCAAGGCTCCTCTAAAAATCAGAACTGGATGTTGGAGTACAAAGGTTCACCCGGCAATCTATCGCATTTCGAAGATATCTTGTTCGGCAATAATGACATAGCTGTGGGTGTATCTGTAATAGCTGTGAAACTGGGGACAGAAGGAAAGTCCAGAGTGAGTTCATCATACATGATTAAATACTATTGTATTACTATTATATATTTTAAAATAATTCATCTGACACAGAATCAATTTGATGTTTATAATTATGAGTTTTTTCTAATTGTACAATTATAATTGTATATATTGTGTATACGTGTAATTATAAAATATATTTAAGAAAATTATATGGAGGAAAATGTTATAATTTCTATTTTCATACAAAGTCATAATTAATATGAAAAATGATTAACCTTTTGCAGGTTGTCGGCTTAAGTTGCGTAGACGTCGTTTCAACTCTAATTTCAGTTGCTGAATTTCAAGATAACGAATCATTTTCAAATCTAGAGTCGCTCATTGTAACTCTTGCTCCAAAAGAATGTTTATTAATCCAGGGAGAAGGCAGTTATGAATTTCAAACTCTCAAACAAGTATGTACAACATAAAAAATATAAAATGTTATGCTTTTCATTTTACTAAAATATCTTGGTACGCCTAACATTGTAATTTCTCATTTGTTTTTCCAGATAATGGAAAGAAGTAACGTTTTGGTTACCTTAAGAAAGAAAAATGAATTTTCCAGTGACTCGATCATTGATGACCTGAACACGTTAATAAAATTTAAGAAAGGACAAAAACAGAACTCACAATCATTGCCTGAAGTTAACCTGAACTTGGCTATGTCTGCAACATCGGCTCTCATTAAATATTTAGATGTAAATGTTTTTATAGTTATTTACAAGACTATATAAGATCTTGTCGCATCTTTATTCAATTTTGATGTTACATTACTTAATGAATTCGATAATCTCTTATAGAAACGTAAAATTGACAAAAAGCCTAACATAAGGAATTATTTGATAATTAACAGTATCGCATATGTGTAATAAGGTTTTTGTCTTCTATCACTAAAATATAAGAAGTTACAATAAAGATTAGCATTAAATTTATATTTAAAAAATTGTTACATTATATGTATATAGTTTATTATCATTAAAATTTGTGATAAAGATGACACCGTACATGTCGCTTATGTGTTTCTTATGCAATAATGCTTTCAGTTAACATCAGACGAAGGCCACATGAATCAATTTAAACTGAATCAACTCGAACAATCGCGGTACATAAGATTGGATTCTGCAGCAATAAAAGCTCTTAATATCGAACCACATATTGATGTAGTTCCCAACTTACAAGGAAATCCAATTGGTAGCATTTTAACATTACTGGATAAGTGCAGAACTGCGCAGGGGCACCGACTAATCGCGCAATGGGTTCGACAGCCTCTTCGAGATCTATCTTTAATAAAAGAACGGCACGATATCGTTGAGCTATTAGTAAAAAATAACGAACTAAGATCCGTTCTTAGTGACGACTATTTAAAACGTATACCGGATCTGCAACAGCTTGCAAAGAAATTGGATAGAAAGAAGTCGGCGTTGCAAGATTGTTACAAGTAAGTTATCGCTATTGTGGAAATTTATTGTCACAATTAGAACAAAATCGACTGTATGATTTGAAAGACCATATCTTGACGTTTATTACATTATATATTTCAGAATCTACCTGTGCGTATCATACTTACCAAAACTGTTGGAACAGCTTTCACCAGAAGAAAATGTGACAGCATTGAAAACAATGATAATGGATCCACTAAAGGAGCTCATAGAGGACATGGAGAAATTTCAACAGCTTGTAGAGCAGACAATCGACTTAGAGGCTGCTGAGAAGGGTGATTTTATGGTCAATCCAGGATTTGCAGATGATTTTAAAAGTAATAATCTTATATAAATTTTCTCATTAATAACATTTCTTTAAAGGCACATATAGAATGTCTCAAAAAATTTGCATTAGATCATAGATTTACATCTAGGTTTTAAATCTTAAATAAAAAAAGATCTAACTTCGTCAAGAAAACGTGTATGACTCTTGACATATCTTGTAATGTAATATTTTCTTCTTGTTTAGTTTTTATTGTTTATTGTGAATAAATATAACAGTTATATATATAAGCAATTTTGTAATATTTCAGCACTAAAAGACGCCATGGATGAAACGGAGGAAATCATTCAGAATCAACTCCACAAGGCAGCGAATGATCTTAGCTTAGAAGCAGGAAAAGTGATAAAGCTGGAATCGAATCAGCAATTCGGTTATTACTTTCGTATCACATTAAAGGAAGAGAAAATACTTAGGAATAACAGGCATTACACTATTCTGGATTCTAATAAAACTGGCGTGAGATTCCGAAACAATAAATTAAACGAACTGAATGACGATTTTATGGATGCCAGGGACAAATATTTGGAGAGGCAAAAAGAAGTTATTACAGAGATTGTAGGAATTGCAGGTTTGATGTCAATTCTCGCGTTTAAACAGAAACTATTCCAATTTTAAAATATAATATTAATATAACTATCTGAATTTTTATTATGATTATATTACGTTTGTAGCTGGCTATAGCGAAACAGTGCGTACGATCGGTGGCGTGCTGGCATGCCTCGACGTTCTCGCTGCATTTGCTTCCGCAGCAGTAAGTGCTAACAAAGTATACGTGCGCCCCAAAATGGTACCGAGCGAAGAAGGTGAATTGAATCTCCTTCAAGTTAGACACCCGTGTTTGGAAATGCAGCAAGGAGTCGATTATATTGCCAATGATGTCAATTTTAAAAGAGGTATAAAATCTGGGTCCATGTATACAAATAATGTAGCAAGGATATAAGAATATTAGAAAAATAACGCAACTAGAATTGTGCAGTGTTTTGAGTTACATTTATGTGCAAATTTTTCTAAAATTCGACTTTAATTTATTCTTTATAGATCAGTGCCATTTTTGCATTATTACTGGCCCGAATATGGGAGGTAAAAGTACTTACATCAGATCTATTGGTGTAACCGCATTAATGGCTCACATTGGTAGTTTTGTTCCTTGTGATGAAGCAACTATATCATTGCTGGATTGCATATTGGCTAGAGTGGGAGCTGATGATTCCCAGCTGAAAGGATTGTCAACATTCATGATGGAAATGATAGAAACTGCTGCTATTTTGAAGGTAATTGGCATCATTCATTTAGAAATTATAATAAAAATACAATATCTAATATTAAATCTTATTTATAGACAGCGACTTGTAACTCTCTTGTAATTATCGACGAATTGGGCAGAGGTACATCTACCTACGAGGGTTGTGGTATAGCGTGGTCAATAGCCGAGTAAGTAGGGATACTTTACATTACGTAAACAAGTAGTATTGAAAGTATTTTTATTCTTAAAGTCGCCAGCAGTAATTTAATAAATTAATAACATCGGTTTGTCGACCGTGTCTGGCAATTAAAATTCTTATTGCGAAAAATATTACCCCAGCCAGGATTCGAACCTGGGACCTGGGAATTTTAATTGCCAGACACGGTCGACAAACCGATGTTATTAATTTATGAAAGTATTTTGTTATATTTTATATTCTTTTAGGCACTTGGCAAGGGATATTAAATCGTATTGCTTATTTGCTACGCACTTTCACGAGATTACCAAGTTAGCCGAAGAAATACCTACTGTAAAAAATCAACATGTTACCGCTCTTGTCGATGACAATAAATTGACATTACTTTATAAAGTAAAGCCAGGGATTTGCGATCAAAGTTTTGGCCTTCATGTCGCTAAGATGGCTAATTTTCCGCCAAATGTAATAGAGGTATATATATTTGATTTACGGACACATTAAATGTTATAAAATTTTCATTTCATGTATCGAACGACTTTCCGTTTAGTTCGCTAAAAGAAAGCAAGCAGAGCTCGAGGACTATCAAGGCGTAGCCTTTGAAGGATCTGATAATCCTCAGAAGAAACAGAAAATCATTCAGGTAGCTTTATTATTACCTCTAATAATAATTAAGCGAGATAACCGATTCAACGTTGTATATAACAATTTGTCACATCAATAATTTATCATGAATGACGTTTACACGCAGAATGAAAAAGATTGAAATAATTTTACGAGAGACAGAAAGCTCTTACTTCTTTACATACTTCCTAGTTTTATTTGTTATTAGCATTTATTGAATAAATTACTGACTAAAGCACGTAACAGCAACATGTTCTGTAAAATTAATCAAGATCAAGTTAATGGAGCATGCAAATATTTGTTTATATTGCGAAACTATTATGAGATAATAGTTTAATAATATTTAACGTCGTTGCAGGAGGGTGAAGTCCTTATTTCGCAGTTTCTGAAGAAGTGTAAAACTTTGGATCAGTCTTTATCCGATGCCGACCTAGAAAGTCAGGTGTCGTCGCTGAAAGAGGATATTCTCTCCCACAAGAATCCTTACATCGCGGCGTTATTCGCCGCTTCGTAAATCGAGAATTATAACATCACGGTGAATACAAGGACGGGGATTCAAACAAGCAGTATTATTTTTAAGAATACCTTTACCGTTGACCGAATCAAATGAAGAAACACATATATTTTTCATTAAATTAATTTTGTATAAATGCATTGTACTCACGTTTACTCCTTTATTATTCCTCTTATTCGCCAATGATTATTAAATAATCGTTCGCTGCTTCGAATAATTAGTAGCCTGGATATTTATCATAGAAATGTTCGGAATTGTTCAATTGTTTCCTAGATTAGTGTCTAGAGGAAATGGAATTGGAATCCATTCCGAACATTTCCATGATACTTGTGTTGTGCCCCGATTGCCGAAAGAGGCAACGAGGGCACTCGAGCAGTGTTACTGCAATTAGAATAACACTAGCGTAAGCATATTGCGCGATCGAGCCACAAAAGCCCGACCGCGCAACCTAATTAAATTCGGAGAAGTCAGCAAGTTCTCGACCCGATTACGCATAACTCCGATCGAGTACCGAGAACGCTGACGCCTCGATCATCGGGTTTAAAACCGGAGGAAAGCCCGAGATCGAGGCACTTGTCACTTGTTTCTCTTCTTCTATCTTTTCTGAAAGAAAGGAAATGAATACTTTGTAAACATTTGAGGCGACAGTTCGACCGCGGCCTTCGTCGATTAATTTTCAAACTGGATATTAAACACGCGGGAAAAGGAACATTGAAAAAGCCAGTAATTTTTCGAAGAGGGCGAGATCCCGCGGGATCACGTTTCCACGATGATACCGTCCGCGGGTAACATATTGATTCGCGTGCACCGCCATCGTAACCTTGAACTTGACTAGCGTATTCCGCTGGTCCTGGGGAGTGTCTGAAGGCCTGTCAAGTGACTGTTGATCGTACACTTTTCTATCGTTTTTATCAATAACAATTATGGATCCCGCGGTCTTCCCGGAGGAGATTTGGATTAAGATTTTATTATACTGCGACGTACCTGACATTATCGCGTTCGGCAGCACCTGCAAATACCTGAGGAAAACGTCGGACACGGATTACCTGTGGTGAGTACGCTAGGTTAGACTTGCGTCAAGCTAACGTCAAGCCGAGCCCGCCGCGGACGAGCTCGGGATGTACGCTCGGGAGCGAGGTATCGCGCGTGCGAGTTGACGGGTGTCGCGGCCCCGCGGGACTCGCCGCTCGAAGCCTTTATCCACGGCCAGGACGACCCAACCTCGCCTCCCTCCTCCCCCTCCCCCTCGTCCCGCGAGGGACTCGAGCATCGGACGTAGCGCGAGAGCGACAGCCGTCGTCGCTCGGGACGAGCCGCTCTCTAACAAATGCCCCGTGTCGTTTCAGGAAGATGAAATGGCTGCAGCTGATCTCGAAGGTGCACTTCAGATTCCCGGACATAAAATGCTTGCAGTTGCTCAGCGTCAGCTTCAAGGCGATGTGCTACAGACTGCACATGGTGATAACGCTGGGGGAGAACGCGCCCTTCCCGAAGTGCTACCACTGCAGCGGCTACACGTGTCAGAGGAACTGCGTGGAGGGCTCCAGCGCCAAGGTGGTGATCGAGATCGGCAACAAGTACACCTGGGTCATCACCCCGTACTTCGGGCTCAGGCGGCACTTCTCCATGTTCGGCATTCCCAAGTACAACAACAAGACCCACGTGGAGCAGACGCAGACACAGAGCGTGCCGAGCAGCAGCACGCGCGCCAAGCCCGACACCAAGTCGCTGGCGAAGCGGCTCAAGCTGCTGAAGCTGTCGGATCTGGCGACCACCAAGATCCCGCGGCCGAGCGGGCCGTTCTGCGTCTTCTGCAATCCCGTCAAGCTGTACAGGGAGAAGCGGAGATTGACCACGCATCAGAACGACCCGGTGTGCAACACCAAGCCGAGTCCGATATACGAGAAGCTCGTGAACGGCTACTGCACCGACACGGTGGAAGTGCTCGGTATTCCGAACGTGGACGTCGTGAGCCCGGCGGAGGCCCTGCTGTGCGAGGGCATGTTCCCGGTTCTCAAGACCTTCATCGATCACTTGTTTCACCAGATGAGCCTGACCGCGACGCTCAGAAAGCCGAATACCGTGCTCATGTTTTGCGAACCGCTGGCGATGCACCCCACCTTGAGAAAGCAGTTGCTACATTATTTATTCCAGGAAGTTAAAGTAGCGAGGTAAAGGGAACTTGTAACGTACACACGCATACGTACACATGTCCTATTATTTTAATCAGGGTTGGATAGTGTAGTTAAAAAGATAAAAGTTAAGTTAAAAAGTTAAATAATTTTAGCTTGACACTTAGTTACAGTATAAACTGTTAACTTTTAACTTACCTTTCTTAAAATTAGCCATGCCATAAATGTGTTGCGAGACGCCGGGCGCTTGTATATATTGGCAGTTCCTGTGTTGAAAAATTTACTTCCAGCACTACAAATTTATAGTATACGTTACATGCACTATAGGTCTTCAGCGCTGGCAGTGAATTTTGGAACACAGCCGTTAAATATATAGAACTTTGATTCTCCAACTCACGTGAATTTGTTTGCATATGAAACTGACCGTATTCCGTGTAGTGTGATTGGTTGTTCGAACGCTGGTCGTAAAATTCAAAGCAAGTTACGTGATCGCAAGTGTCCAAGATTTTGTGTAAAAATGAGACAAATTTCACTTTTAACTTTTTAATTTGTTTTTATTATTAACTTAACTTTTAATTCAATTAATTTCATTATGGGTTAACTTGTATCTTAACTAAGTTAAAGCTTCGAAGCTGTTAACTTTAATTGAACTTGGTTAAAAAAAAATCGGTAACTTACCCAACCCTGATTTTAATACATGCATTTCATATTACACACAACTAATTCATTTATCATGTATCAACGCTGCAGAATTACACTGTAGAGCTCGACGCTACTGACTGCAAAAGTCTACAGCTGAGATTATTGCAGAGTATGTTTGGTGCCGAAGCCTCTAGCAGCATGCGCCATGCTGGACGTGGAAACCTGCGTAGTAGTCGACAGCGGTGCCCTGAGCACAACGGTGGCTGTCGTAATTGGAGGGCGGGTTATGCCACAGCGCTGGAGACTGTCACCTGTGGGTGGTTGGCACGTTGCCTATCACTTGAAGCAGGCTATGTTCTGGCAACCGAAAGAGTATCATCAGATTCCTATATCCTACCTAGACATTTTGGCTGTTAAAGAAAGATGCAGGTTGAGTTACAATATTAAGACCGAGGAGAAACGTTTGGGACAGAAGGCGAGGGAGCACATTAATCTTCGAGTCGACAGCTATGCGGACTACAAGCAATTTTGGGTACGTGACACAGCTACGAAGGGAACGCACGTTCGCCAACAGTTTGCGCGTACTCGGGTTCGCAGAAATATATTGTGCAAAAAAACATCTTGTTTCCAGAGAGTCTCATTAGGGCAAGAGCTATACATAGCTCCTGAAATGATGTACATCAGCCTGCGTTTGCCCGAAATTATTAAGGACGTAACGTCAGGATTGCCGGAAGATATAATGCACGATTGTCTCTCACATATTCTGCTTACCGGTGGGAATACAGATCTCACGGGTTTCGAGCTAAGACTTACCAAGGATCTACGTGAGCTGTTGCCGGAGTATAGCAAGATTTTGGAAGTGAAAAGCTGTCCTGGTACGCATAGTTGGAACGTCGCAATGGGATCTACATATGTGCCTTTAGCTGTGCATCCTGGTAAGTCTCGACAACTTTTGTACATGTATATGGAGTACACAGGTACTAAATAAATTAAATCTAGAACATTCAATTGTGCGAAACGATGAAAGCCAGCGTAAGAATATGAAAACGGGGAAGGCGCATAAACGTAGTAAAATAGAGAGAATGGCATGTAAAAATGTAATTAAATTAGAATATAAAAAAATGTCTTGCTTCTAAAATTTGTTTTAGATAAAACTCCACCGGAATATATCGAGGGTAATCCATTTTGGCTGTCACGAGAAGAATACGTACTGTTTGGGTGCGAATCTCTGGAACACAGTAACGAAGGTATAATAGGTGACGCCTTATAATATGAATGCCTCACTTATTGTTTAACCGTGAGATGTGCGCATATATAATGCATGATGACAGGAAAGTAAGTGTTACCATTGTTAGGTATATTTTCTCTTATATTGTCTATAAATTGGAAAAGTACTTTAGAGAATTAAAGGGGCCTGAAACACATTCCAAAATATAATTCATGTTCACGCTATTTAAGGGCACCTAAATGTTTTTCTCAAATTTTGCTATTTAATATTTATTTATTAGCGTAGTATGTACAAGATATATACTAGATGTTCCATTTTGACGTATACAAAATAAATTCTCCGAGATGAGTCGAGACGTGAAAGTTTCTATTTTGTGTTGAATATTGTCGGGTCAATTTTTTTTCTTAAATTCTTAGTTTTATATCCATTTTGGCTTAAACATACACACATATATCCTGATAATAATATAAAATACATAAAATAAGATAAAACTCGAGAACGTGTTTCCTTATGTGTCTTGAAAAGGAACTTTTGCTTCATAAATTAAAAGGGACATCTTGTATATATGCTCTAAAACTGCCCCTATATTAACTTTGAAACTTATGGCATTTAAATTTCCACACATTAAAAAGAATTCATTATCTATTAGTATTTTAGGGTATCATGGAGCTTTGTATAAGAGTAATTAATATGCCAGTTGCAATGTACTTTAGTACATTCGTTACTAATTCTATCAGGACCATCACTCGGCATCTGATACCGTTCAGTGCGATGTTACATATTGATGGCATAAATGTTTTAAAGTTGCAGCATAAGATTGTAGTGCCATCCGAGCATATTTAAATTATAAAACTATTTAATTTTATGTACATAGCACGTGCAATGAATTGTTTTGTAAATATAGAGTAAACGAAGCTGCTTAAATTGAAAATGTACAGATCATTATATAAATGTCAAGCAAGTATTATATAATGCTAGATATAGTATTTCCAGAAATTGTTCACTATTTCGTACATTTATATCACAGAAATCTTGCCAAAAGAAGTATGTGTATGTTAAAAAGAGAAAATATAGCAACATTTCTAGTCACTTTAGATATTGATAGCTTTTAAATATAGGTTCAGTGAAGCGACAGGTTTCTCTTCCAAGATGAAGTAAATAATCGCACTAGCGACCTGTAATAAATAATAAAAAGAACAATGAATCTTTAGATTATACATATGTTCATGAAATGTATGGATACTGTTATATTTTTTTTGTTAATGATATAGAATATAATTTTATGTATAAGATATAATTATTGACATGATTACTCCTAAGATATTTCATTAAGAGACTGTAATGAATTTGATAGCTGTAACTAGAGCACACATATTGTGATGAGTTAAATTATTATTTAGATAAGAATATGTAATGTGTAGCTAGTATGAAGCAACTAATTAAAAACAAAAATAGTATTGTAAATGCTATGTTATAACTGATGTTTCTATTAAAAAAATATCTATCTAAATTATTATTGTGTTAGCTGCTAGAATTGTCAGAGAAGACTTACTTATAGGTGTTCACACATGGCTTCAATTCTGTAAAATGCTAAAATGTAAGTAAAAAAATATTAAATATTACACAACACGAAAAGAGAGAGGGGAGTGTAGTTGTAATACGTACACATGCTGCTACATCCCGTTTTCACTTCACTTCAAATGTGAAAAGAATTTTGCATCTTTAATATACTTCAAACTCATAATAAATATATACATATATACTGCATACAATTCTTCAAATTAAATAAGGGAAAAAATATATATTTATTTAATTCTGCAAAATATTTCTTTGCGTGTAGCAGTACCAAGATGTTGATCATTTTGCTCTTAGAGATTTTTTTTCTAGTGTGTAGACATTAAGATTGTTTAAGTAAATATTTAAGTCGCACTCAATGATAACGTGAGTCTTAAGATATAAAAAAGGTGTTGTCATTAGCCGCGCATGATAACTTACACCTTTGCAACGAACGGGGAACTCTAAAGTTTACCGTACTCAAGAAATGCAGCACTGCAAAAATTTTCCATTATGTTAAACTATAAAAATTGCGTATATATACATATATATATATATATAAAACTCGCTGTTGCTTGTGGTTCTGTTATTTATAAGAAATGTACAACGTGTAAATAAATCTTTTTCAGATATTCTTGCGTATGTTCAATTATGTAGTAAATTAAGATATATAAATACAAAATGCAAAAAAATGAATCTTTAGAATGTAATAAAAAAAGTAATATATGAAGAGAGAAAGAGAAAAAGAATAGTTTAGTTTTATTAATTTTTCATTTCTTAAAAATGTAGCAAATTTCTATTGACATTATATATAAAATACAGTCGTGTAATTTCTTAGAAAACTTCACATAAGTACTATCCTCTTTGTGTTCCGATAAGGGACTTATTGCTTATTATACAAAAGAGAAAAAATGTTCGGTACTTTCATGCGATTATATTAACTGTTTTATTAACAATGTTGCAAGCTTTTTCGTAATTTCACTGTACTTATAAAATCATCTACAAATTGTTATTCGTTATAGCACAGCTGATGAGTATAAAACGTAACAAAGAAAGATATTTGTGTAATTTCATTTCTACTACTTACAGACTGTGAAACTTTACCTAAAATATTATACATTGTGTATATATTAACATTATATAAATCTAAAGATATACTTTTGTGTATATATAACATTTTCGAATTAAATACAAATTATACATTTGTTGATTTTTTTTGTATTCGGATTGTACTGTAAAAGTTTAAAAATTATTTTATATTTGTGTAACTTACAGAAATACAAAGTATTCCAGATAAAAGAAAAGATATTTAAAATAGAGCATATTAGTTTATAAAAAATCCCACCTCGCATGTATTCCAAAAAATCTAAAATATATAATATATTATACATACATATATATTGTATGTATTCTAGACTTTGGTTATGTTTGAATTATTTATATAATACATAAAGAGCAAGCGAGATTTTACAATTCCACACTAACATCAACAATATATATGCTACGTATATTACAAATGTACTTAATATTTTCACAAACCCTGATGGTAACAATTCATCGAATTGTGACGAAGTTGGTAGAAAATGTGTTTCCGATTATTTTGTATATGTACAATTTTATGTTTCATCTTCTGATACTAGTTTTACCAATCCTATTCACACAAAATAATGCTTTGTACTACAAATGACAAATTTCATACTGTCGTGTAGAGAAATGAAGTTTTATTATCTCATTCTCTGAAAAAATAAGTTCAACAGCAGCACAGCCGTTTTCGTTCTATTGAATATTGATTTGTTAGACGAAATAAATCTCGATTGTGAATACGTTTTATAGATTTAAAATGCTTCGTACAATGTTGCATGTATCTTGTTTTTTTTTAAAACAATCCTAATTCCATGCTTATATATGTATATTGTAATATTATATTATTAATATATCAGATGACCAACAAAGTTCATAATATTTATAGAGTTGGCAAGAATCCTGCGAATGTCGAAATTCAGTACCTAGGAGGCAATATTAGATGCGATTGTTTTGGCAAATCGGAAATTGTTCATAACTCAAGAGCGTTAGTTCGATTTTCTACTAATATATTACATTTTTTATTCAATCGTTTCTATTAAAAGTTTTGCTTTTCTAGTTTACAGATTTTCTAATAAAACGTTTCTCTAGCGACACTTGATGTGTACTTTCAATAACAATATGTGTATTGACTGATAACTGGCGACAGCTGGTGTTTCACTTCGGGATAAGTATGGGAAATAGTTATGAGAAATGCGAGTTATGACAACCCTGGTCGATTCTCCCTGAAAGAACAACCGCAAAAAGGGTGCAAACAATACCCGTTTTTCGGTCCTCGATTTTTCAAAGAAATTTTATGACAAATGATAGCTCATGATAAGACATTAATCACATAAACATTTTACGATGAGCATACGATTGGTTTCAGAGATATAGAGGGTCAAAGCGGTTACCACCTACTAAGAAAGTATGACACTATCGACACTATAGCTTGAATTTTCGTTGAATTTTTTCGAAACTCAGTACCTATGGGTTCTTTGAGTTGCTGATTACGAATCTAATGTCAGATTTTAAAGATTCAAGATGGCGGATCCAATATAAAAAAATTAATTTCTCCAAAAATTGTTGTCTAAGCGTCTTTCGAGTTGCTGATTACGAATTTTCCATCAGATTTTCGATACTAAACGATAATTTTTAAGTAAAAAAAGCATTCTTTTGATTACGTTTTCATAAAAAATGTCAAATTGATACGTTACATGGCGCATAAAAAATAACACGATAGCTTTACTTGCTGTATTTAGAAGCTTTTTCACTGCAGACATGCTTGTTCATGGAGAAATTAATTTTTTTATATTGCATCCGGCATCTTGAATTTTGAAAATCTGACATCAGATTCGTAATCAGCAACTCAAAGAACACATAGGTACTGAGTTTCGAAAAAATTCAACGAAAATTCAAGCTATAGTGTCGATAGTGTCATAGTTTCTTAGTAGATGGTCAACCACTTTGACTCTCTATATCTCTGAAACCAATCGTATACTCATCGTAAAATTTTTATGTGATTAATGTCTTATCATAAGCTATCATTTGGCATAAAATTTATTTGAAAAATCGAGACATTTTTGGCGGTTGTTCCTTTTAAGACTGAAGCCGTTCATGGAAATAATCAAGAGAACTGTGTTGCTTGCGATGACGTAAGTGATGAAAATTTTTGAATAAAGTTGGTATTTTGAGATATTCTATTTGAATTTTTTTAGAAATGTACATAATTATGTATAGCTTAGAAATAGTGAAAAGTTTTCCAACGTGGATTAATGCGGATCAATACATGTTATCGCAATGTTTTGAGAAACAGCGAAACGTCTGATACAATCATCTGTTTCTCTTAATACAGATTTATATTTTCAAGATATTGATTTTACAGCTGTCGAATTTGTTTGTATTTTCTTCTATTTCAATTTACACATTACTTTGCGAAAATTGGTTAGGCAACAGGTGCAATTTCTCGATACTCTGTGTTCTCGCAGTGACACGTACGTGTAATAATTGTCAGAACAGTACTTTCAAACTAGAGGAGAGGAAAGACTACTTCAATTACTATCGTTTTAGAATGCTTAACTTTAGGGTATAAACTTGGCACAACACTTTCAAATGCGCATATTCAAAGAGCACGAAATGTGTGCCTACACGTGTGTTTTCTCAATTGATAGCTTGTAGAAGATCAATGGTTTTAGGATACTTATATTTAGAGAAAACAAGTCTGTCAATTCTCTCTCTATCAATTGTATAATCGTCACTCTAGGAAATTATATGAATTTTATTAGCCACCTGATTACGCAAGCTATATACAAAAACATCTTTAGCCCAGATGTAACCATAATTTCCAACAAAATCGTTAATCTTCCCCTTAAAACAAGAATGCAGTAGGAAGTTACTTGTCACGTAAGTAAAAAAGATTGTGTATGTGTGTGTGTGTGTACAATATACAGCAATCTATATTAATACAATAAATAACTTTATAGCCCGAATAACATGTAACACATACAAGTAAGTATAAGTATATATTACAATATGCTTATATATGCGCGTTGATTTATTAAATTATATGTGTAACATAGTCTCCCGAAATAACGATTCCATCTGCATTCTTAAATCTTGTTTGCTATTCTAAAAATAAATCGAAGTAACGACCTAACAACACGAGCTTTTCGCCGGTTCCGCCTCGACTAGATTAAAATCTAACCCACCAGGCCTAGCGAATCCAGTTTTAATGCCGTCCCAACCGTCTTCTACCTTGTATTCGCCGGTTTGTATCCTGTTATAGACTTCCTGCGTAACCGTTCGAAACGCCTCCTCAACATTTACACCGGTCTTCGCACTGGTCTCAATGTGATGCACACCGTGTTCGTCGGCAAACGCCCTGGCTTCCTCCTTGGAGACCTCCCGTCTACCGCCATTAGTTACTAGGTCCAATTTACAGCCTACCAGAGCAAACACCGGGCGATGAGGCTCGATGTGTCTGCGAGCCTCCATCATCCATTGGGGAATATGCTCGAAGCTCGCTCTGTTACAAACGTCATATACGAGAAGCGCCCCCACTGAGTTCCTGTAGTAAGACTTTGTAATTGACCTGCGAAGAAAAGGACTCGATAACAAAGTAAGGAATCGGCAAAGAACAAAATCTACAATGCAGAATACGCAGCGAGTGATCGCAAACTTTTGCAAAAGTACATTACATGTACGTACACACCTAAATCCACAGAGGAATGTGGTACGACATCACACTGGTTCAAGAAGTTAGGGAAAAACAATAAAGAAATTAAGGAATAAGATATGGAGCGATGAATTAGATACGGTAAAAGGGAATACTACAAGAAAGCTATGGATGGAAAGAGAAAGAGAAGAGGAAGAAGAGGAGAAAGAGGAAGAAATGTAAATAGAATAAGATCAATATAAGACTAATAAAGTACAAACAAATATAAGATCCATAAGAGTGTAAGTACAAATAGACTAGAAAAAATAAACATAGAATAAAGCTAAGCTTAGAATTGTTAAATTTAGTTTTCAAATACAAGTTAAACTAAGTAAGTAAATAAAGTAAAAATTAGAAATACTAGTGACAACACGCAAGAAATTTAATAAGTTATATATTATATACACACCTAAATCTCTCTTGGCCAGCTGTATCCCATAATTGCAACTTTATTCTCGTACCATCTTTGACTTCTATTAAGCGTGCGAAAAAATCCACGCCAACGGTTGGATCTGAAAGCTGAAGTTGTACAAAGTATTAAAACCAGGGAAATCTTTTCTCTCATCTCGCGTTTCCTAATCAAGAAACGAGCGTGTCAATAAGAGTGATTCTGTTTATCTGTCCTTTTTCACCAAGATAAAACTTTCGAAAGCCGGAGAAGATCACAATACCAAATTGATTGACAGTCAAGTCTTAAATATTAGGTATGTTCTTTACAGCTAAACTCTGAACCAGCGCAGCCAGTTCAGCTACAAAGAACAGATTTGTTGTATCGTAGTGTATCAATTTTAAACACTTCATCGCAATACACTTGTTCCTCGCAGCCTTTGCTCTTCAACGTCCAGTTGTGTGCTTTTCAGAAATAGTGTAGTGCAAAGAATTGCTCGTTGTTGCAAAGTACAGCTCGATCGAGTTAAGCGATGTTTCAACGAGCTCGTAGAACAAATAACAGTGGAGCTGCGTAAGCTCAAAGGTACAGGAAACGCTGCTCAAGGCAACTTTTTGACCAAGCTCCGGACAGCTGTATTCAATCGACATAATTGCCCGCAGCAAGATTCACCGTGACTCACTGCCCCTGACACATCCTCACCATGTGTCAGGCGGCAAAGAGTTAACAATACCAGCCATATCAATCAACTAATCGTGTCATCCGATAAGTTAATCCGAGTTTGCTCGAGGTCACTCTTGCTCCGTCCAATTCTAGAAGAGGACAAAGAGAGTTACGTAGAGCGCTAAATATACATTCCGCTGCAGGTCGGAGCGAGCTGCGCGCGACGTGCGCGACTCGCCTAACCTAATTACATCGTCGGACCCTCGTCGAGAGATCGGCGGGGTCTTCTCTTGGGTCTCGGACGCTCGCGGCGAGACGGGGTGTAAACGGGGAAGAGAGAGGATGTCGCGCGGGCAATCGCCCTCGCGACGGGACGACCGGACGTCGTGTGTACCTCCGCGAACTTGCCGTCGGTGAAGTACTTGAGGAGGGAGCTCTTGCCGACCGTGCTGTCGCCGATCAGTATCAGCCGGAACTGGTAGTCGAAGATAGGCTCTACCATCTTGGCGGTGTCGCGGCGAGTAAATACACGCCCGCTCGATAATCGGCCGTGCGCGCGTAACCAGCGGAATCAGCAGCAGCGAGTCGCCGTCGTCCCTCAGCGAGCCACGCGGTCCTCGCACATCTCTCGCTCGGCTGCGGCGTGCCCTCGCCTTGTCGTGACCGCGCACAGAGCTGTACCCACCACAGCTGACCGCGGGCATCAATCATCGGAGCGCACACGGCTGACGGGGCTCACCTTCGCCCCCGCGAGACAAGATTTCACCACACCACGGCGTTCGACCGCGCGCGCGCTACTGCGCACAAGTCCGTCGCTGCGGTCGCGCTCTCGCCAGCTCTCGCGTCCCGAGGACTCCCGAGTCCCGAGACGGCGCCGAGACGGCGGAGCTCGGACCATGGACCTATAATATATGGACTGCGCATCGCGATGAAAGAATGTATCCCATACAACTGAGAGAGATGCATAATAACTGGACATTTCTCCTCCGCTCATGCGCACAAGAAGGGCTTGAGACTGTTTCTCTCTAACCTTATCTTTAAAAAGTATAATTCACTGTAAAATATAAATATAAGTCCCAGTCTACAATAGAGATTTAAACCCTAAGCCTTAAGTCCCAGTCTACAATAGAGATTTAAGCCCTAAGCCTTAAGAAATTGACTAATCACAGTCGCGCATTCTACTCATACTTGACCGTGATTGGCCAATTTCTTAAAGCTTAGGGCTTAAATCATCTATTGTAGACTGGGACTAAGAAATTGACTAATCACAGTCGTGTAATCTACTCGTACTTGACCGTGATTGGCCAATTTCTTAAAGCTTAGAGCTTAAATCATCTATTGTAGACTGGGACTTATGTGTCAGTTCTAAAATACCTTTCAAAATAAGTTTTTGAAAAACTTGATAAGAATGTGCCTTTTTACCCATTTTATTTCTTTAATATGCTAATCTTTGTTCCAACAACGTATTAATTAAAGCTACAGCCCAGCGAGAGTTTGAGCCGAGAGAACGACGGGAGTGGGGGGGGGGGGGCTTTAGACAGCCTGAAGCTGCTGATTAAGTTACGACATAAAATTAATGAAAATGAATAAAAATGACGCTCATTCATCGCCCATCATCCTAACACGTTCTTTGTCGTTCACTTATCCAGCACGATCGCAGAATCAAATTAACATTACAAACCAAACGGATCGCGACCGTATTCCACGAAAAAGAGAAAGAGTCCCTTTCCACCGCCGTGAAAACAGGAGTACCCGCGATTTACAATAAGTTTAAATCCGTCGCTGCCCATCCACGTGCTTTGTCGCCTATTTTGAACATTGACGAGGGGGATAAATGTTCGAATAATTAGTCAGAAACGAGGCCCGTCATTTCTAATGGATATTTCTCACGAGAGCGCATTGGTATTAATATATTAATAAATTAATTATTAATAATAACGGATTAATCAATTACGAATTATCATCAGTCGTTGCGCAAAAGTTGGTGCAGCTGTACTCGATTAGCGCCGACGTTGCTTAACTTGATTACGACGACAATGACGATTATAAATTGATAAAAGTATAATCCAATATCCCCCTTCGATCGATACAAATGACACACGGGTTAATAGAATTCAGACGAACGCGATAAAATCGAGTCGAAAACTACTGAACGGAAGCCGGTGATTTTTTTTCTTTCTTTGTTTAGACCCCAAAATGTAATCGACCTTAAAACAGAGGAAGGGGACATCCTTCACCCCGAAAACAGATTTTGATTAAACTATTAACTATATAACAGGCTATGCGGTAACATCGGGGGAGTTTATCATGCGGAATCAAACCCTCTTCGCCTGTGGGGATCCGGCATGGAATAACGATACTTAGGTATCATGCATAGTTTTTATATTTTCACGTAAATTGGCATACTCTCTTATATAATGTAGGTTTATATAAATAAGAAACAATTTATGTATAAAATATTATTTCTTTATTCATACTACACGGTTAAGTATTGTACAAGCAATTCTTAATTATATCGACGACACTTATTAATAGAGGTATTTACATTATGTATAATCCCTCTCTTTTTCCTTCTTATGCGAGACAAGAGTGTTTTTTTTTGTTATGTAACATAAATAACAGTAGATCTTATCCACTTGTACGCGTTTTACAAAATAAAAGTATCTAATTGTCTTTGTACATATCTACGTAAAGAAGAACATGTTTTTTGATCACATGTGAGATTTATAAATTCTGTTTATAATAAATGTATACAATAATCTCTGTAATATTCCGCGTGTCTTTATCCAGTCAAAATACATGCATACATTCTTTTTTAAATTAAAACTATCGCATACGAGTATGTGAGTATAAATGATTTCTTTTTGCCTTATTATTTAAGGCACCTACGATATTGAAATAATCAATGCTACTACGCGAGTTGTTGTTAACAGGTGGGTGAGATACCGTTGAAACATATTTGACAACACATCCGCATATCATAGATCACTTCTGGCTTTTAAGCGCACTTGAGTGCTTGCAGTTTCCAGGGGAATGCAGACAATTCCTTGCAGCTATTCCCACTGTGACGATGTAACGCGCCTACCCCCATACGATATCGTAGGGATGTAGGCGACAATGTGCTTAATCAACTGTTGTTCACCCTCGCAACAGACTTATTCACCTCGTTCTAGGAACGACGTCTACGTCCTTCCACCATGCCATGATATTGCCTGACTATAGATGATATTTGGGATTAGTTTTCTAACACGAGTCACAATGAGTGGTTGGACTTCGAGTTAAGAATCCCATTCAGAAACACCAGGACATTGTTCTCGAGTTGAAAATTTTAGAACATCATCCCGGTACGCGACGTTTCTGGTTGTTCGTTGGATGTGTGCATATGCATTTTCGTATGTATGTGGAATGCAATCCACATCCTTAATAAGATAAGAACTGAAAGTTGTATTTCGCATATACGTAACGCTACATATATAGTATTGCGAAAAGAAAATTGAACCCGTCATAAATACTATTCTCCAATCGAATAATTTATACTCACATAATGTAAGCGAACTCTTTTTCACCTACATGCCTAGCGACTTACGCGGACGCATAAACCTGTATCATATAACACTGTTTACAATTTTAAAAAAGCTATTCAATTGCGTTTGTATCGACGTACATATTAAACGACAATTTTGAGAAACCATTGTACTTTATCAAATTGTACTAGTCTTTAAATATCGTTTGATATACCTATATTACAAATACTCGAAACTTCTTTTACATCTAAACTTATAGAGATCTGAATTTTTTATCTATCCTGCGTAATAAATTATGCAATTAATAAAATACGTACTCAAAAGTAAAATAGGCAATTCTTGAAATTTTTTTCTTATAAATAAAAATAGAAAAACTTATTCTGTATATGTATTTGTTACTATTTATAATTTCTTACCATGTATATCGCGTTTTGTATAAAAAAATTTAAAAAGTTCAAAAATTGCCCATTTTTCTAGTATTTTTGAGCAAATACCCCTTTGATAGTGCAAAAACCTAAATTTAACCAGGTAGGATCCGTTTTACGATAGGATTACAGCAAAACGAAGTTAAGTTCTAGCAAAATTCTCCAAAGTATGTACTCCTGTTTTTTTCAATAATGAGTTATTTTTAACATTTAAACACTTGCTTTGTTTACTTATACTTGTTTTTATATAATTTTGATCAAAGTTATTATATAATACTAATGTAAGGGAAAACATTTGTAAAATAAATCATAAAACAAATCCTATCTGTATTAGAAAAATTAAAGATTAGATATGCAAAAAGAACGTTTTTTTTACTTAATCTTTTAGATGTAAAATTTCTTAAATTAACTGTTCACAATGATGTTAGATACAATTAGGAGAATATTATGTTGTTTGTTATAGATACAAACGGAAATCTTTTTAATTAGAGAAAAAGATAGATACTTTTTACTTTTGTGTACAAAAAATATATGTGCATAATATATGTATAGACTCCAACTCGCCTATATAATATAAAAGTTTCTTAATTTCTTTTTAATTTAAAAAAATAAAAAGTATCAATATCTTTTAAATGGCTCTCTCTCTCTCTCTCTCTCTCTCTCTCTCTCTCTCGGAAGCAAGTCCAATCTAACAAATCTAAATTTTTTGTATCTAACATCATTGCAATCACGGTAACAACATCAATGAACAGTAACCCAAATGATCATTAGTATTATCAAATAACTGCTTGAAAAAGTATAAAAATTATTTTTGGGAATATTCAGTTTATCAAATCCTATACATAATGATCAGTGATTTCATTATACATATTACCCAAAAATACCTAAATATGCAGAGTGGTGTTCTAGCAGAAATCGCATTTTTTTTGTAACAATGAACAAAACAATCTGTAAAAGCATATGTATGTAAGGTTTTAACCACTTCAGCGGCATTGACGCCATATGGCGCGGAAAATGTACGTGTCCCTGTGGGCATTGACGCCATATGGCGCACATCGTTTAATTTTTAATTGACTGGCCCGATTTTCATAAAACTTGGTACCCAAGGGTTTTTTGGGTCGTTGAATACAAATTCGCGATCAAAATTTCAAAATTCAAAATGGCGGACCCAATATGGCGATCGAAAATAATCACAAAATCCAAAATCTTTTCGATTGTTTTCGATGTTAAGAAACCTAGTATCAAGAGGTTTTTTGGTCGTTGAATAAAGTCGTCGAATTCGCGAGCAAAATTTCAAAATGGCGGCCGCACAAAAAATATAAAAATTCAAAACTTTGTCTCCTGACAATGTTAATGAATTCAGATTTATGTTCCTATATCTTTTTTTATTTTTTGTGCGTTTTTATTTTGTCCGCCATTTTGAATTTTTAATTTTGATCTCAAATTCGTATTCAACGGCTCAAAAAACCTCTAGATACCCCTAGATTTCTTAACGATCGGAAAGATTTCGGACTTTGTGATTATTTTTGGTCGCCATATTGGGTCCGCCATTTTGAATTTTGATCGCAAATTCGTATTCAGCGGCCCAAAAAACCTCTAGATACCAAGTGACATTAAAATCCGATTACTTTTTTTTCTTGCCCACTGGGACACAAACAGTGAAATTTTGTCTGCCGCTGAAGTGGTTAATGGAAAGCTTCCAGTTGAAGATCACATCAGAGATATCTATAATTATTCTTATAAAAACTTGAAGCCCTCCATTAAAACTTTAGATACATATGTTTTTACAGCTCGTTTTGTTTTGTTGTCACAAAATAGCTGTGATTCTTGTTGGAGCACTACTTCTGTTTTGTTCAAAAATGTGTACTTAATTAACATATGTACGTTATAATATTTTTAAATTAACATTTTCATAATTTCAGAAAAAACTATGGTTTACAAATAATTGTTGGAAAAGTTACTGTTTTCACTAGTACTGTCAAACAATAATATATCTGTATACGTATAAAATTTGTTAAAAATCAGAATATAAACATAGTTATGACTTTTCTTAAACAAGATTGTAATGAGATAGAAAGGACTTTTAACAATTTTCATGTGGATGTATTGTGTGCAAATTTAAATGTTTAAACAAGATTCAGATGTTTAAACAAAATTTAAATGTTTAAACAAGACGGATTGTAGATATATTTGAAACAGTTTTTTAAAGGAACTCTATTAATATACCTAATCTATTGCTTTTTCTAGCATTTACCCTTTCCCAAAAAAAAAATTAATAATTATCTTTTGTTGCCAGAAATACATAAATCGAAAGTAACAAATAACCAAATGCTTTCTACTCAAGTTTTGATACAAGATACAAAATAAGTATACTTATAAAAAAAAGTATACGACGGAATGGAATGGAGATCGCAGTTATACAAGAAGCTCCTGCACTCTGATTTTTCTTACGCTATTATCACAATGGCAAGTTTTCTTACTCAATATATGGCGTTTACTTCGTAAACGCTTCTGACGGTATCTGCCCACGTTTAAAGAACTCGTGAAAAGCAGAGAGTGCATTATCATAATTCCACTGAGTCTCTTGTAAGCACTTTAAGCTCCATTGCAGATTCATACTTGTCTGCTGACTTAACGTCACCGTCATTTGCTGTTTCACTACTTCTGAAGTTTCCAACGACACCGTCTGCGGTTGCGGTTGACTTCTGAGCTGATTCAGTTGCTGATGCAGTTGCTTCAATTGCGCCTCAGACGGCTGACTAATGTGCCACTGCTCATTTCGAATACAGCATCCCTCACCTTCCGGAACAATTATGAAGGTGCGGTTGAAGTAACGAATGGGCTCGTCTTTATCGAGTTCTTGAAAGTAACCCGTTATAGTAATGAACATCATTGCTTGCTGTAAATACATAAAAACTAATTGACTTATTTGTTTTCAATTAATAAAAAATAAATTATAAGTTTGTCTTTATCTCACATATGAGTAATAAAATGTAATATACAACAGTATAATAGGATTACTTACTGTTGCAAGAGTGATGTCCATGGTAAAGGTATTCAATAAATGCCTTGTCTTTGGCATTTCCGATATAAACGACACTACAGGCAATCTACCCTGTTTCAATAACTTATGTCTTCTATTTGAATCAATTGTTCTAAATATGTTTCTATTCTCCGTGTAATACCCATTTAACTTGTAGAAATTGCTTATCGTCAGGCTTAAGCATGCATTTTCGGCGTATGCATCGAGTAAAGGTTGACGATTATCGCTGTCAAGTATCGTGAAGTATTGTTGTAAAAACTGGCTCGCTATCTCTTGAATTTTAGGATCCGAAACAAACATTCTTTGCGATGGAGGTGGTATCTGTAAGACACAAGTAAAAATTTAGTCCAAGCTGTAATATACGGGTCATTCCATATCAGATTTACAATCAAAATTTTGATTCGCCTGAAAATTTTTTTTCTCGTTCTAGAAAGGAAAAAAAATGACACGTATTTTTTCTTTTTAATATGATATGTAAATTTTCCAAGTTATTGATTTTTTAATTTTTAAAGTGCAAAAAATTTTTTTTTCAATAATGCTTCTACTATTCAACGAAGAGTATAGAATACATGATTAAAATATGCCATGGGATCTACTATTAAATCCATGCTTTGATGAAAACTCAGAAACGGTATTTAGTACTTTCTATGCAACAATTAAATAAACAAATGGAATTATCTCAAAAGGAACCT